AAAATGTAGCTTTGCAGTTGAGACCGTGAGGAGTCCACACTTCTGAAACACTAGTGAGCAATGCTGAGTTTGCCTCAGTTCTTTCCCAGATGTAGACAGTCCCTACACAGATCAGTCTGTACGGCTTATGTTTCTACTTCTGCACTAGCAGAGACACGTGGCCAGTTAACACCTGTGGCTTATCTCACAGGACTTTCGTGAGAAGGACTCTTCAAGCATGAGGCAAAATTTGCTTTCCACCAATTTCCAACACCACCAGTAATCCATTTACAGAGGGAAAAGCTCTGCCCTTCTTCCCACACGCACAAGTGGGATATATGTTGATGTGACAAAGAAGCACATGCACTTTGCCTCCCCACTCCCAAGAAGGAAGTCCGTGCTTTTTCCAGGATGTATGTTTTCCTATTAACGTCTCAAAGGAAGAAGAAGTTAGCATAATTGCTCCCTGCATCCCCTTTAGCATGACTTACAGTCCCAAATTTGCCTTCATCCCACACAAACCTGGCATTGACACTTCTTTTTATTCAACTTTTTACATCCAGAATGTAGAATTCCAAAGTTGAGAGATTTTTTCTTTTTTTTTTCTTCTTTTTATTTTAAAGAAAAGGATTCATGAGCAAAAGAAATTAAGCCTCCATCATCTTGGTCTTTTCTCTCCATTTTTTTTTTTAATGAGTCCTATATTTCAACTTCGACAGGATAAGAAATATGTAGGATATGTGGTAGTTATACAATTCTAAAAGAAAGTATGTATAAATCCAGAGAAATGGGTAGGAGTAGAATGTAAATACACAGTATGTCAATATTATAGCTTCTCTTAATAAGATTTAGTTAAGTGGAAATACATGGTAATGGAGGTATTTTTTTCCTCATTGCACTTTCAAAATGATTTCACAGTAGTCTAAATTCCAGTATTTTGAATTTATTTTGAATTTATGTTAATTTAAAAAAATGTTGATTTTTTTGAATCTAGTTCTAAATCTGGACTCAACATCGCCTATGGGTCTTCAAGGAAAAAACTCTATGGAAAATGAAACACTAAACTCTGTGTGTCCTTCTATATATACCAACAAACATCAATCAAAAGTGGTTTTTAGATTCCTGCTCCAGACAAAAGATCCATTGTGAGCTCACCTCATTTTTATTAAATGAAAGAAAGAAATATTTTTGAAAAATCTCTTTGCAATATTTTTATTTTTCTTACTGTTTGGCAAAAATCTTCATTTTTAGGAGTGAAGAAAAAAAAGATATAGGAGAAAATGTATGTAGCTGCATTTGTGAACCAAATTTACTGGGGGAAGCAAATGAAAAACCCACTAAGTAGATTTTTCTCATTCCATTTTTTCAAAGCTTTCTTCACTTCAGCTGTTCCCGAACTGTGATTTGTAGAGAAATATTAAAAAGGAAAATTCAGTTTGTTTTCAGTTGAAAGTTTGTTTGTAAGCGATATGGTAATCTGAGAGAAAGCAATCTGGTTTTGTTTCAAAAGGTTTTAAGACTGTTTCTATAAGCCAGAATATGGAGTGTATTCCCGCCAACTGTGCTCCATCTCACTTGCATGTGATTTGGTTTGAGTGTGCAGATACCTTCCCAAAGAGCCAGCGCAAACCAAGCTGGAAAGAGGCATGGACAATATGCCTTTCTTTCATAATTCTCTCCCTTGTATTGACTTACCTTTTGTTTTCATTAACCTGCTTCAAATCAGCTATTTCAGATGCAAGAAGGCAGGAACCTCTTAAATGGCAGGCTTTTCATCAATGGTGTCAGTGTTTGAGTATGAACTTGTAAAAGAAGTCAGCAGTGGAATTGTTAAAATAGTGTAAATGCTTTTAGCCCTCTGAAAATACTCTGTAGTAGTGGAGATGGGCACTGGTCACCCATTTAAAAACTATAGAATTATCAAACAGTGATGTGATTTGAGCTGACTACCCGGGCCGATGACAAAGAACCATGCGGTCGCTTGCTCACTCCTCCCCTCACCACCATCTCCACAGGAATGTGGAGGGAGGAACTTCAACCAAAAAGGCTCAAGTACTGAGATTAAGAACAGGGAGCATAATAATCTGCCACTTAAGATAACAGGTAAAACCAGAGTAGATTTGGGGAGAAAAACATTAATTTACTACCACCGTTTTTTGGAGTAAAATAGTTAGAGGAATACATAAATAAAAACAATCTGATCTTAAATATACTCTCCCCCCCATCTTCCCAGTTATCTCCTCCCCACCATTGGTGCAAGGGGGACAGGGGGTGGAGGGTGCAGTCCATCTGGCTATTACTCATCTTCCATGGCAGTTCCTCCTCCTTGAGAAAGAGGGCTCCTCACAGTCTCTCCTTCGTGCCAAGTGGTGTCCACCTCACAGGAGGCAATCCTCTTCCTCCTCGTGGGTCCACTGGGGTCATGAATCTCTTCGGGCACGTCCTCCACTGGTCTCTCTCTCCTCTCACAGTGGGCTCTGCACGTACTGATGCATCCTGGAGGTCCTCGCTGCTGTTGATCTCAGCTGGCAGGCAATCACCTTCCTGCTGTTTCACTCACCACGAGGCTCCAGGGAAAGGTACTTCTCCAGCACCTTTCTCCATCACTTTCCTCACTGACCATGTTCCCCTGCTTTCCTCTCACCTACCCCTCCTCCAACAGAAAAACTCCCCAGCATAAAAGACAGGACAGATGAGACAAAATCAAAAAAGAAAGAGAAACAATGGGGTTGCCTCTTAAATACTTGATCATGGAGGTGCTGACTGACCTGGCCCTGGTCAGAGGTGGGTTCAACTTCTACCTGGGGGTGGGGGAGGCTCTCAAAGTTTCACAAGGGTCATCCTCCACAGCTCTCCCCCTGCTTCCAAAAACCTCGCCAGACTCAAACCCGTGACAGTGATGAATCATTTGGTCTTGTGGTGAGGTTCCTGTCAGGTTACAACATATATTTGTACAACACTATGTATTTATTGGTCCTGATTTCTATGCCTTTAGATCAGATTATTGAGGGTTTATTTTGACGTGGAATTCTTGTCAGTGTTGGTCATATTTATCAACCATATTTGTAAAGGAGGAGAACCTACTCTTCATTGGTTCATGTCAGACAAGTAGTAATATATGCTGCTTTCTTGCTCTGTTCCACAAAACAAGGATCCCTGCACTGTGCAAGCTAAAAAAAAAATCAAAGGGATCACAATTTGAGAAGGCATGGCCTTAATGGAATAATAGTGTAGTAGTAATGCACTTTTTCTCCGAAGTCCAACTGCAATGCAAATCTAGAAGGCTCTGCAAAACTGAGAGTTTTAGTGGAGATTCCATGATTCCTTTAGTATTCTGTGGGCAACCCCATTGTTAAATTTTGATTTATGTAATGCTGACCTTCGATTCATCTTAATTTCTTCTGTGAAGGCTAACTGTAAGGAGCAGATAGTTAATTGGCTTTGTGGGCAAGAGATGCTCACAAAAACTTGCAAGACTATTCTGGACAGTTATGTGAGAAACCAGATCTCTCATTCTGGGAGATATCGTGGAAAAATCAGCCACTTTGAGAATTACAAAGTATTTTTCTTCTTTTGACTGAGTTATTCTAATTGGTACTAAGTTCTTCCTAGGGTGTTCCAGGTTTCCCTCTGTCTTTGTGCTCTAGATTGCCGTCTTACCCATACACACACTTAAACAGATGAGCAAATACCAGCTTGTGAAAAGGGAGATGAAGGATTTCTAATTATCTCTGAGGAGAAGAGGAAAAAGTGCCATTAAAGAGTTAAATTCAGTGTTATGTAAAGGTAACATGGAGAAAAAAAGGAACATGTAGATTATTGGTTTTACTGCTTCCCTCAAAGTTATTATTTTTGTCTCAGAAATCTGATTTCAGTTTGAAGTAATGAACAAATTGCCTTATATTAGACAACAGCACTGTTAACAGCATGCTGTGTGTTAAGGCAAATGGATTTTATCAGTCAAGGTACACGTGCTCACATTTAGAAGGTCACGTCTTCTGACATCTGTTTACATCTTCTCTTACAATTTTCATTGTGCTACCTTATTTTTCTCTTATTACAGCTTGTTTTAACATAGCTAACAATTCCTTTTGTGTATTATCCCTAACATCTTGTTCTGGTTGTGAAGAGGCATTCGTGCCCTGTGCCGAACACGTGCCGAGTGACTGCTGCTGCTGAATGTTGTCACAAGGTGTAGAAACAGCTCAGTGCTTGGCAGGAGCAAAAAAGCATGCCAGAGGAATTTGCTTCCCAGCACGAAAAAATCCTCTATGATTATTTTGATCTTGCATGAGACTTGTGAAATACTGAAGTAATGTCAGGTTCTGAAGTGATTATAATTTGCTCCTGATTTGAATTTCTTTTTCTTCATTTTTAGGACAGCACTGCTCTATGCAAAAGACAGCTGAACAATTCCATGTTTCAGTGGATACACTCCAAACGTTTTCTCACTCTCTTCCTTCTTGCTGGAATCTGCACTGGGTAGATTTACTGCAGATTTCAAACCTGTCAACACCCAAATGTGTGACACTAGCTCTCAATAAATGTGAAAGAGCTAAGCTGAGGGACATGATAATTTGTAGCAGGGGAAGAAGATGCAAGTTCTGCAGAATACATTCTGTGCAGTGCAGAAAACTTTTCTATAAACTCCATTTTGAAGTTGAGCAGCTGTGTTATCAGCCTGCAGTTACCAGGAAGTTAGAAAACACTGAGAAAGTGTTCGAACCTCACGACTCTCCCTCGTACTAGAATGTTAGAGGAATCTGTGTTTAATCCATGGAGAGTTTTATGAGCTGCTTAGATCACAAACGTGAAAGTTATTACAACCACATATAACTCCCAACTTCAAGCTAAGGAAGTCCATGGTTTGCAAGCTCCCACTGCTGTCAGAGAGCAGCCTCACCCAGCAGCCTGGCCGAGGCCGGATAAGCTGCTGCCCAACCGGGAAGTGGCTGGGTGCGAACGCTGCGCTCCCACAGCCTGTCGCAGCTGGCCACTTCCCCACGCGCTTGCCCGCAGTCATGTCGGGGCTCCGCTCGGCTGCTTCAGCCCCGCTGGTGCTCACCCTCGCTCTGCTCTTCCAAACCTCTCTGTCAGTGCTCCATGTCCCGATGCTGATCTGGTCAACTCAGAGGTAAGGGATCTAAAAACATCTACCAATGCTGTTGCTTTCTTGGTGTGTGTGGCAGGAATATACGGGTTGTGGTAAATAACCTCTGGGCAACAAGATTACCCAATAAATAAATTCTTTTCTGGGCAATTAGCAACCTGACAGATTAATTTACCCATCTTTATTTATAATTTTAGTGTTCTGAGCTGGGCAATGAGAAGTAAATAAAATCCATACTCTTGAAATCTGAAGTAGATATGTTTTATTCACCCTAAGGCACCCTTGAACTCCGCTGTTAGAATGTCATGACTTAAAGGCACAACATAAGGCAGTCTCAGAAAAGCGAGCTGACCAAAGACTGTGTAGGTAACCTGAAACCTGGCATTTCCTAACTCCTTAATCTTTTTTCCCCTTAATGTTCTTTTTAATGCAGTTTTGTTTCTTTCTTTTTTATTTATTTAATTGAATGCACTGCTGTATGCAAAGACATCAGTTGTTAGAAACAACTGCAGAGTCTCAGCAGATGCATTGAGACACGTGAAATTTAGGGCTTTGCGTATATTTAGAAAATTAGACTTTGAACCTGTCTTGAAAGAGCCAGATGTAGACCTCTTTTCTCCGACCGGGAATTTTATTCATGGGGAGTTTAAGGATTTTATTTAAGTGCTTGGGATTTCCAGAAATACGGTGGCTTGTGCAAGGCAATAGCTTCAGGCGGGGTGCTGGATACGTAAAGTTGTCAGAGCACTACGTGCTGCTTCTTCACAAGGCTGTCTCTGCAGGGCATGCACACTGGTTTTCTCTAGGAAGTACTGCCCCAAAATACACTAAGCTGGTATCAGAGAAAAGACTCCTGTGGGGCTTATGGGATCACAGGACTGTTTGGAAGGGCTAAAGGCAAAGTCCTGTTCTGGGTGGGAAGGCGACAGATCTGCTGTAGTCTAGGTTCACCTGAGCTGTGCTTTGGCCTGAGTAAGTCGCTTGACTCCCTCCTCCTAATTCTGAAATCCTCCACATTCTTAACCTGGTTTATCTAAATCGTAAACCCTCTTGTGGAGAGTTCATCTCATACCCTCTGCAAGCACATATATCTATTATACCTCATTCAACAGGCCTGATCTCAGCTGGGTATTTATTAATTTCTCAGATTCAAATAATCCATAATCAGCAGTATTTGGAGTTTGTCACAATCCAGCTGGGTGACTTCATAAGTGTAAAAGTCTTTCCTGTACCACAAATCACCTTGGTGCACAGGTTAGTGCTCACTGTTGAGTCCCTTTGCTGGCATGACCAAGCTTTGTGTGCCTGGGGAGGGGAGTTTTGCTGCTGAACTCCTTTAGTCATCAACTCTTGTCAAGTCTGAATTAATGGAATTTGATTCATTTGTATCTTTATTACTTTGATAATTCCCAGAGTGTTACCTCTGATTTACTCTTCTGTAAACTGAGAAAGGAACCGAATCAACGGCTTCTTGGGAAGTAATTATTCTTTCAGCTAGTTGTGCTGTATTCACTCTAACTTTCACGAAGCTTTGAGCCATTCTTCAACACATTTGAAACACTGTGAATTTTCTAATTTCATTAGGAAGAATTCTGCTCTCATTTATCCCAGTGTAAATCTTTTGTCTTGGGCAAGATTATTAAGATTGAAAGCTAAATCTTCTTAATATTATTTTCTTTTCTTTCTTTTTCTTTTTTTTTTCCTATTGCTAATGTTGTAATTTTAAAACAGCAATAGGAGGATTTGGAAATTTTATGAAGTCAGGGGTTAGATTAATTTCTTCAGGAGATCTTTCTCCATGTAAAGAGCCACATAAACAAGGATCCAGCTTTTCTGATTTTTCATATATGTCCTGTAGTGTTGGGGGCCACAGAAGACAGATGTGCAGGAGATGTCGATTATGTTTCTTTCATACAAAGCCTGGACATTGTGTTCTTTTCATAGCAGTAATTAATATCAGTGTTCATGTATGTCTACCCCTCTCTTAAGCATTTCCAGAAATCAAGCCTCTGGTCCTTGGGGAGACACAAAATATAGAAATCTGCTAAATTACCTTGATAAAGTTTGACTCAGTAACTTTGACCTATTTGGTTTTTTCCCCCTGAAAAAAATAAATGGATGTCTCAACATCAAGGCTTTTTTTAAATATTCAAAATACTTAATAAATTCATCTCTATGCAAGACAAGAATGTATATGAGTACCGAACCTTCGTATTTAAAAGCAAAGTAAATGTTGGAAGGAGTTGTTCTTTTGATGAAAGTGAAACTAAGAGTCTAACACCAGTGCTTCCTTTGTCCTACTTCCTAGTTTATATAAACAACACACTTGTTGTCAATATAAGCAAAATCATAGCAGTTAATCCTGGGTGCTCATAAAAGCAAACTTTCCACCAAGATGCAATTATCAACTTGCTCTACTGCAGATTGTTCAGGTTTATACGAATCTAGGGCAAGAAAATGAGGAAATGGGCTGATTAAACCAGTTTCATGTTTCTATGAATAGAACATTAACTGGAAGAAGTGTTCCTCTTACCACGACTTTGCATTTTTGTAAGGTGAAGTTGTTTTCGGGCAGCAGTTAATTTGGGTGAAAGTCAATGAAGCAACGGGAAAGAAGATTTATTTTGTTTTATAAAATAAAGAAACAGTAACAGCAACTTCCAGTTGCTAACCCTTAACTGTGCTTTACGTCTTGGTACTTTCCAGTGATGCAAGGTTTGCAGTGTGTGATGTGCAGGCTTATGAAATCTTGAAACTACTCTTCAGAGTTTTAGGAAGGCTAACTAAAGAAATGCAGCAATTATCAGTGGGATTCACTTCATGGAAACATATCCCGCCAATTTAAAAGTTCAGTGATTCATTGATCAACAGAAGCTGAGATTCACGGATCCGTATCATCATCCTCTCCTAGGTTATCTGTTTGGAAATGGTATTGAATAGTTGAAGCATAACACATTCTTCTCTTCATTAGAACTACTCAGTGTTTGTAAAGCCATATCTCAGAAGAGCTATTTTAGAGGAATATCACACTTTAAAGTCTCTTTTATGCATTATTATTATACTGTAATCATGCTATTAAAGATAATGTTAGATGTCAGATACAGATGAAACCTACAACTGACAAACACATGCAGTGTGCAAAGCCTGAGAAGTGTGATATAAATCTTTACAGGGACATTAATAAATCAAATACATCTTTCCTCTAGAAAGAAAAATGCAGATCCCTATTTTGAGAAAAATAATTGTTTTCTACCAGACAACAATCTATCTCCATTGAACTTGGGAGAAAGGTGAAGTGGGAATAACTCAGTAGGTCACAGTGTCCTGCTTCTCTTGAAGAAATACTAATATATCAGTGCACATTCTCAAAATACCTTTGGCCTGGAAAAAATTGACCTTTATCTTAAACCAGCCTTTAAATTAATATCCCCTAGTTGCTTTTCAAAGCAGGAGAGACAGAAAGGTTCCTCTTGCATATGATATATAGCAGAAAATTGATTTAGTAATTTTGAACCAAAATTCAAAATAGTGTCTTTTCCTCCACAGATTAGAGAGGTAACTTGGGGAAACAAATTCATTAAAATTAACTTTTGCAATTGCGGTAATTGAAAATATATTACTACCTTTTTTAATGCTGAGCTTATACCAGGAAATTAATCCTTTTCTGGCAAATCCAGATTACAAGTGAATTTGAGAAGACATTAACACCAGACAGTACATTTGCCTTGTTTCCCAAAACTGAAACAAAAATTTGATACAGTGGAACAGAAAAATATTTTACCTGTGTGCTAGCATGCCTGCCAAGTTGCTTCTGCTGTGCGAGAGAAAATATTATTTCTTATAGGGTAATCACAAAGTGACATAAAGGAGACAACTGACGAGAATAGCTTGTAGGAAAGCTTTCAGAAGCCAGCTACAAGGCAAGAATGTAAGCTCAGAAGTTAGAGTGACAGAAGTCCTGGTAAGGACTATCTGCCCTTCTGGTGGGTCCGGATACAAGAAATATTGAATCTTTGCTTCTATCAAAAATAAGTGCTCAAATCCCAGTACTACCTAGAAAGAACACTGGTCAGAGAGGAATCTGTGTGCTGAAACTTGTTGTCAGGCCAGAGCTGTTAGGGGCAAGAAAGGAGCAAAATACCAATCTGAGCTTTCCTTCCTCTCTTTAGTATGTTGTCTGGCTATTGGAGCAATGAGAGAGCAGTTGAGGTCCACGTTTCCTCCTTTTAACCAGCAGGAAAACACATGCATTAGCAGAGATGCTCATCACTGTGAACCCCCCACGGCTGAGGACCCCAGGATGTTTTTATGTTGGGGTGGTGATGTGCTTGGTCTGCAGATGACTGCACAAGGTTGTGCATCTTTGAATGTAAAATTTTGTGTGAGCGATCAATAATAGCAATCGATGTGTGTGTCGACTTACTGCCTGTTTCATCCTTCCTGATCTCTTGCTGGCTGCTTGAGGTGAAGGGTTCAAAGGGATGGACCGCTTCATTGCAATCAGTGAAGCTCCCCCTTCAGTGTGTACACGATGCACTGTCTGCGGCAGCCTTGTTTCTCTGTTTCACTCTGCAGTAAAACATACCGACATTTCCCATTTGAACCATGATGACAAAATCGTTGCACTCAGCTGACAGTAGCAGCCTGTTTGATAGAGGATGTAGCCTTCCTTTCTGCCATGCATAGTGCTCAGTGAACTGTTTAAAAGAAGTAAAAAAAAAATGCATGTATATATATATGTATATGTATATGGTAAATCTAAGCATTAGGCAAATGCAGCATTATAGAGTTATTAACTAACTGATGTAGATTTATTTTCCTGAAGATGATTCTGGAATTACTGAAGTTGACTGCCTGGAAGCTAAAAGCTCTCATAAAAAGATGCTTTTCAAGGTTAAAGAGCTAGCAGAAGCTGCTTCAAGAAACAGGTAGAAGCAAGTATGCTTTGAACAGGATCATTAAATTTCTGAGGTTTTGAGCCCACAACAAAAACCTCTGCCGTTGTGCTGCTGTAAATAACTGAATGTTGTTTCATATGCTTTCTGTTCCCTTTTATTGTTAACTGCAAGCCCAAAGCTCTCAAAATCTTCATTTTTCTTCCAATATTATGCATGAAATAGATTTTTTTTTTAATGACTATACCTAGATATTCACTATAATTTTCTTCCACATGAACCATTTTTTAACATCTCTTAGTTTAATCTACCTTTTTTTCCTTTAATATCATTAGTATTCCGGTGTGGCCATGCAATGCATAAAGTCAGTGTCCTGGTTCGAGTTAAACAGAACCAATTCTGTTCAGTGATTTTATTTTCCAGCTCAGTCTCTTTTAAGAGACTGTACTTCTGGAAGTTAGTGTGTTTTTGCAGACAGTGTCTGCTGCTAGAAGTGATATCACCTGATGTTTACAGTTACTACCAGGGATTGGGATGCAGAAAGGCTCTTGCTTAGACTTGCTCCTATGTTGACCAAGGTCACTGCTGGCTCTTGTGTGTCACACTGGGGGCATTGGGAAGTAAAAGAGGTCACAAGGAGGTAAAAGTTTGCACCTTCAGTGAGTAACAGACAGGACAGTTGACCAAAAAGAGTGTTCCATTCCATATACGCCATATTCAGTATAAATTGAGGGATCACAGGAGTTAAGCCTCCTCTTTGTCAATGGCTGGTATCCAAGGAGGACTCTGTCCGATCTTCTGCCTTTGATCCCAATCCTGAGTTCCTGATCGCAGCTCCTGTGTCTGGTTCCCCTCTGCTCCTCAGCCTGGGGCTTCCCATATGTGTGCCTGCTCTGCAGCATCGGTCGGGATTGCTGTCAGAGGAGGAGTCAGGTTTGATATCAGATTTTTATATGTATTTGTGGAAATAATAAAAATAATGAACTATATACAAATATATATATATATACTCTTCTAGCAGTAGACACTGCAAAAACATGCTGCTAACTTCAGACAGTGCAACCTCTTAGAAGAGACTGAGCTGCAAACTAAAAATCACTGAACAGAATAGCTCAAACCAGGACGGTCAGTATGAAAGTTGGTTCCTGAACAACCATTCAGAATCCTTCAGAGTCTTTGTGTTTTCAAATATCTTATATTTTTAAAGTTTATACTTAAATATTTAAGGTCATGAGGTTTGACTTTTCTGAAATTTTAGACATGTATGTTACAACTTGTAAGTTGCTGGTTTTCATAAATATAAGTTAATATGGATTTCCAAGCACAAATTAACAAAGAATTGAAGTTGCTGAGTAACTGAGAAAATATCAAAAGATAATTTCAACCACCAAAAAAAAAAAAAATCCTTCCTGCACAGAAATTTTACTTCTAAGGCTTAAAAAGTGATAGGCAGAAGTTCTACTATAGTTTAGTTTTAGCATTTGCAGCACTTTGTCTCAAAAGAGTCTTCTACTTGTACAGTTTGCTCCAACACTCTCCCAAATACCAAAATCTGAAGTGAGCTAAGTGTCTAGTACTATAGGACTGCACTGTTTTTATCTCTGCCATGGAAGCAATTAGAGGCTTTTGATTTACCCTTGGAAATCTTAATTGAAATTACTGGCAGTCTTGAAATGAAATACAAATTTTCTTCATCCAGAAAACAACACTGAACCCCCCGCCACGTGTTCCTTACCCCTATTCTGGCTTCTATCTTAAGAGACTGCAAAGATTGTTCTAATTTATAAAAGCTTGCTGTACAAGGGTCATTTTCAAATTGATTTTGGGTTAGAAAATTTAATCAGCATCTCAACTTCACCAAATTGCAATCATATAATAGCTGATGCTCCAGCACACAGCAATTCTCTATATTATTTTCTTTGTTATTAGAACCAATTAGGGGCTCTGGAATACCTTATGTATCAGGCTTGAGCAACAGATTTACATTCAGGAAAGGTGCAGGATTATGCTTCAAGCTCTGAGTTTTCTACAGAATGACAGTTTAACCTTCGTCAAAACTTCTAGTACTGGAATTGTCATAATAAATTTCATCCCTACAGACCCATGTTGCATACTTGTAAAACCCGAGTCAGGTATTGAAAGAATAATGTCATATCTTGCTTTGTCCATATCTGCCTTTTTGCAGCAGCAAAATTAAATAGATGAATTATTTCTCTGTCCAGTCTTCATAATGACAGGTTGGCAAAAGAATCATAAGATTTTTTGGTGTCTTGAGCCATTCTGTTCAGAAGAGCTCCTGCTTCTGGAAAGGTGGCTTTTCTAAGCTGCTTCTCCAGAATGGTTCCTTCATCATGAAAATCTTAGGAGACAACATATTGTTTACAACAACACTGAAAAGCCACTTTTACTCAACAAAGAGTTTATGAAAAAATATTTGTGGTCTAGCCTGAGTTCTACTCCTCTCTGGCCCCCAGCATGTCTGATGGCACTGGAAAATGTTTTAGAGTTGGAATTCTCTCTGGAAGGTTTTCAACATATTCTTCTTCATTCCACTTTGTAGCTATTTTTTTTGAAAGATGCAACTGTGCAGTTCTACATAAACAAAGAAGTAGAGAAAGGCAGTTATCTCAATTGGACCATTTTTATTCCTGCTGAAACACAGTTAATGCGATGTGGGCATAAATGGGCAAGTTCTTTTCCTCTTGAGTGGAATGAAAGTAAACTGAACTGTAAACCTTATCGCAGTCTAATAGCGATGATGTCATTACCTGCTGTTGCACATTTAAAGAAAGAAGAGGTGTCTTTATTTCTTTGTAGATCACTGTGGAATCCAGACTCCGCTTTGCATGAAGGCCACATTGTCTCAGCACAGGAGCTGCCTGTACTCCTGCAACCTCTTTTTGCCCAGAATTCCAGAAACCTCATCTTGTTCCTGCAAGATACTGTATGTAACATTAATTCCTTTTCTCTCAGCAATGCCAAGCATAAGTCTGAACCTAAATGAAATGCCATGGCTCCTTCTCACCTATCCGCTTTCTTTGTTTTTCAGCTTAGCATAGATGATTTCACATACCTCAGTGAATTCTACGGTAACGAGAATCCTTTTCAAAATATTCAGGCAAGCATTTATCTATTTTATTTTTATTTTATGAGGTATTAAAAAATAAGAAAGATGTAAACAGACAATAATTGGGAAAATTAAACTGAATTGCAGCACTTTTCCTATTGGAATTATTTACTGAGATTATTTCAGTTCAAGCAGATGAGTTAGGGGAAATCAACTGAGTTTGCAGAAGTTTGTTTTGTAGCTATTTTATTTGTGAAGATCAAGTTTTCAAAATTCTTCGTAACTGTCAAAATTGCTCCTGAACAAGCTGCAAATTTATATTGTAAAACATAATAAGGCCACAGGAAGAAAAGAAGTTATAGGAAACAATTATTTATTCCTGATTTTTAGAATTCAATACCCATTTTATTTTTATAGAAATTCAAAACTCATGCAGAGAGTTAACTGTTTCATATTTGAATGTAGTTAATATATGACTAGGTACTGGATTGCTTTAACCTTCATGAAAAGAAGTCATACTACTTGAGTAATTTGAAATAAACTCCAGGCACGGAATCTAAAACGGAGTTCTGAGCCAGTCAGCAACTTCATCTTCTGAGGAGGTTTACAGATTTTGTGCACAGTGTCTATGGTTGTACTTACATGACAGTTAATTGAACTGTAATTAGACAAAGGGAATGTTCACACATAGAAATCATCCAGGTATTCCTGCAGGCGGTGCAGGATGAACAGAACTGTTAGTAACGTGACTAGTACCAGAGCACACGAGGAAGTGTAAATTGCCAAGCACCACAAAGCAAGACATATGTGTTATTAAATATATAAATATTCTATACTAAGAACCTCACGTCTTCCTTGTATCACTGATACAGGAGGTCTTAATCGTTTTGCCATATAATGGCATTTTAGCACTGGTGCTGGAACAAAAAACCCCAACTATTCAGATTACATACATGGGTTTTCTGAGGAATGAATAGGATTAATATTCTTTTCTAGTGTAACGAACAGCGGTTTTGTGCACAGGCAGATGTACTGGTACTTCTCTGGTGTGCTTTATCTTCTCTGGGTTTAAAATCTATGCAAGGCTATGTCTGGAGCAAATCTTACTGATTTCAGAAGTTGTGTGGAATGTGCACATGGCATTGCAAGCTACAAATGATGTGGTGGTCTTATTTAAGACCATATAATATGGATATTTAAAAGGAGGAATATTAAAGTATTTAAAACTTTCCTCTTTCACCTTGCAGTCAGGACTCCATCAGCACCGTAGGTAGAGCTTACAACCAAAGGCCAGAGAGGAGTGCAGGGTCTGACAGCTTTAGAAATTGGGTGCTATACTGAGTGTACTGGGACCTACCGAGGGCTACTGAGAAGTCTTCAGCTAAGCCAAGGATCACATTTAAGCAAATCTTTGGTCTGCATCTGGCAGAGCAAAGATTTAAAACCAGGTTTTGAAGGAGATGAATAAATGTCAGTGTTTGCTTTCTGACCTTGCCTCTGTTCTCTTTCTGTCTTGGAGCTGAGAAACTTTTTCTCATTAGAGCTTCCTTAAAACTGGAAAGCTCCTTTTGACAAATTGCTCACCATAACTCCAGCACTTCCTAGATTTGTTCTGTTGGACTTGGCAATCTTAATACTCTTCTAGCATAGTTTTGTGGGGGTGAGGTGCTGTAAGTGAATGAAAGAAAAGGAGATACATAAATTAAATATTTCTTTTTCACCTCAGTGCCCATATGGAGAATTTTTTCAAGATATGTTGCATAGACTTGTAGGTTTTAGGGACAGAAAGGATCTTTATAATCATCCAGTTCCATCTTTGATATAATAAAGGCTACAAAAATTTGCTCAGTTGCTAGCACATCAGTTGCACTCCACTTGAGCTACTTTGGTAAAGAAATCCATTCTTAATAATGCTACAGAGGACTCTGTCATAATATTCACAGAACACAGGACGAAGTGAAGGTCAGGTCTAAATTCTCACTTGGGAAATTAGAATCTTTGATGTTGCATAATCACAATTTTTTATACCTTCACACTCTATGTTATATGAGTGTTTCATTAAGCAATAATAGATATTCCATGTCACTTGAGTATCCTCCTTCTGAACTTTAGACATGCAAATTTATTCACAAACCTGAACTGGAGATCTCGTTTAGAATGTATATATGCATGTAGCAGCACGTGTACTACAAGAAACAATCGTTATTTGTAGAAGCGTGTAGAAGGCTTGTAAACCACAGAGATGTTTGCAGATATTAGATTTGTTCAGTTATATTAGCAGCTCTTTTGAGCTTTTGGGATCCATGGGTTTGTAGGCAGTAAAAGAATTCTATTTCCAGTGAGTACAGAAAGAAACTTATGGGTAGATAATTTATCTTAAACATTCAAAGAACTTTTTAATTAAATAATAAAATACAAAGATTAGCACTTAGGGAACTTTTTTTGTCAGGCAGTCACCTACTCTACAAACTATTTTTCCTCAATATTAGCTTTGGCTTTCTCCAAACAATGCTCAGCTCCTCTGGAACTGGTAACGCCCTCCAATTAGCGGCCAGCTGTGCAGCTGCATAATTATTATTGTAATATATTATAATATTCATGGTTCTGTATCCATCATATCTTCCCTCATTGGTCACAGACTGAGGAGTATTGCTTAGTGAATTGTGATACAAAGATCCTACTACAGTTTTGATTGTGTGTTTCTTTTCTCTTTATCTCTTCTGGTTTTATTACACTATTTTTGACAAGGAGGCACGCACAACTGCATAATAATCAAGATGTAAGTTCATCATAGATTTATTCAGTGACATGACGATGTTTTGTTCTCCAGCCTTTTCCAAAGAACAACTAGTATTTGATATTTTAATCCTAATCATTATCAGCCACTGAACTGCCATTTTCACAGTGCTGCTGTGCCTCTTACGGTCTCATTGCTGAAGAGTAACACTTAGTTCTGAGTCTATTATCTATTATTGTGTACATAAAATTAGTGTGGGGTTTTTTCCCATCCTGTGCTCTGCTAAAATCAATTTACATTCAATCTCATCAGTTACTTTGTTGGCTAAGAGGCTGAACTAGAGTTTGCTTCTGCAATTCATCAGTTAGCCCTTGCCTTTATTTCGAATACTTCAATGTAATCAGCAGATTTCATTAGCTCAATATTTATGTATTTTATCAGATAGTTTATGAACATACAGAGCAGAAGAGAACAGACCCTAGTGCAATAACAGACACTGTTTTCTATCATCTGTTCCTTGCTGTCTTCTTACCTACTCTTTACCTAGCCTTTATTAACATTCGTATGGAGACTGCCTCTCTCACACCAGAGCAGCTAAATTTCTTTAGTAGTCTTTGCTTCAAGACTGCCGAGTGCACCGTGTGGATCCAAATAAACTGTATCAACTAGAGCTCCCTTGTGTACATGTCCATTGGCTCCTTCAGAGATTTTCAGCAGAATCTTGAGGCATAACTTCATTTTGCAAAAGCCACATCAGCTTTTTCCCAGTATAATCCTTCTTTGTTTTTATAGTTTGTATTTTATTCTTTGGAATAGTTCCCCTAGTTCTTGGATTTCGTGTTTGCTTCTCTACAGTCTCTGATCTGTAATCGTAGAAAGAGAATCTGGTGCTATGTTTCCTAGTACACAGTACAGTGGTATAGACGTTTGTTCAACAATACTTTCTATAGCTGTAACATGTTTTGTCAGTTAAAGTACATCAGATAAATTTTCATTGAAAGCATAATATAGTTTTATGCATACATTTGGAGAACATAGGTACAGTGTAAAAGTTGTTATGTTTAATAGTAATTGGAAAGTTAAACTGCAACAGTGATAATTTGATTTGCAGTTATCAATCTATGTAGAAACAGATGTGCTTCCAAATGTCTTTCAATATTTTTTTTTATAGCTAACCCATTGACCAATGCCGTAGAAAATAAATACAATAATACTTTACATGACATAGAGCTAAAAGGTTTAAAAGATCTCTTTTACATGGAAGAACCTGCCTACTTCAGGTGTATATTCCCGGATATTTCCAGAACCAAACCAATTTTTTTTTCCCAAATAATGTTTTTATTATCGGACTACCTATCAGCTTTGATGCCAAACATGAACTAGTTCAGAACAATGAGTACACCTACATGATCTTTTATAGACAGATGCGTGAGACTTTAACAAAGATTTTAACAATAGATTTTTAATGATAGACCATTCTATCTTCAAGTTGCTGAGGTATAATGTCAATCCAGTTAATATAACACTGAAACCAGAGCAGGGGAAGTAAGTCCAAGCACAGCTTTAACATAGTGCAAATACTTGTCTTCAGGATGGCTATAAATGTGGACAGAGTCATCCCACACCTGCCTTCACAAAACCCTGAACACTGATATGCATAGTACAAGAGTGAAGGTTCTTCAATATTTCGCTCAGAAGAAGTGCTTCAGGGGACATTAAAGGAAGTAGATGTACTCATAATCACAATAAGCTGCCCACAGACAGGTTCTAGATTCTGGCATTTAATGTAGGAAGTTCTGCTATCAGTCCCACAGCTCAAAAGGAGGCTTTCTTCCCTTTCCCTCTTTCCTTCTTTCCCTCTTTCCTTCCCTTTCCCTTTCCTTTTCCCTTTCCCTTTCCCTTTCCCTTTCCCTTTCCCTTTCCCTTTCCCTTTCCCTTTCCCTTTCCCTTTCCCTTTCTCTCTCCTAGCTACTGTGTGGTTGTATCTCTTTGATTAGTCCTTTATCAGAATGCAAAATCAGGTGTTTCTCAATAGTCCTCCTCATTCTCCACCTTTTTGGGTGGTGTTTTGAACATGCATGGTAGTAGAAATCCTAAAATGCGTAAGGCAACATATGGCTATTGTAAACACAAGTGTGCAGTGGCCAATGTCAAGAAGGACAAACAAGAGGCATGGGACCAGAATGGCTTGGCTGAGGCTAATGAGTAAATATCCAGCTGTGCCTGCCCTTCAGATGGAAAACAGTTGAATACTGGTGGCTAGAAGCTGAGACAGATGGTAGTGAAAGATTGGTTAGGAGCAGAGACACGATCACATATTCCTCAATAATGGTGCATTTTATATCTTATTCTAAAATAAATGAGTAATCTACCTAATATATATCCTTGAAAGAAGTGGCTGCTGCCATTCTGGGTCCTGCTAGGGGGCAAGAATTTGAATATTGAAAATAAAATAATTTTACTATTACTCAGAATTTTAGCTCAAAATTCATATGTGCAAACAAACAAAAATGAAATATACCATCCTTTCCTTCCAGGCAGTGCTAAAAATGCTGCTCAAAGACCTGCAAACCAGATCAGTTTTTGCTGTTATTTTTCTATCAGTCTGGCAAATCAGACAATACTCATAATCCTCCCTTATGAGCATCTATAGAGATGTGAAAATAACTAGCCTTTCCCTAGGAAGGAAAATGTGAGCAATTAGAAAAAAAAAACAGAGCAGGTCAGAAGCATGGTAGGCAGTCAGAGAACAGACAAAAGGAAAAGAGTAGGAGGACAAAAATGTTAGCAGCACCACAATATTTGCATCAGTTAGAGAGGAAGAGAGAATCTATAACAATTTAAATATCTGAATGTTGGATCAAGTGACAGACTCAACTTAGATTTAAATATAGAAAAAGGGAAAACAAAGTTAATAAGTTGTAAACTAGGACTTGATGAAAAAATATCTTCTAATATTGACATTAAATTTGGGGTACATTATTTTTGATGATTTGCAAGTCTCCATCTTGCATTTTCTTTTCCTGTATATTTCAAGTTAATTTGATTATCACAAATAATCTTTGGAAAAATATTTTTCAGCTATGCAGGTTTCGAATTTATAGAATGAGAATGTTTTTAAATTCATTTCACTCAAGTATTTTCATCAGAAACTCAGCTATAAGAGTTATAAATAGTGATGATTATCTGAACTAGTTTGATGTGAGATTTATAATTTGATCTTTGAGTAAAAAGACAGGAAGTACATCACATAAATTTTGTTTATGTGTCTGGAGGCTCCGTAGATCCTGAAACATGTAGCTTTTTTAATAGCTGCAAATCAGACATTTGCTGTACCATGTGCTGTACCACCAGGATGCACACAAAGGAAGGGTATTTCTTACACAAGGTATGACTCGGTACTGAATGGAGCTGCTGGAACTTGAGGTGTCTGACACTGATCCTTCTCACCTCTGAGGGCATTTAGTTAGATATTCATCTGACAAGCTTTGTTTCTGGAAGCATTCACAGAATCACAGAATCACAGAATCATCCAGGTTGGAAAAGACCCTTGGGATCATCGAGTCCAACCATTAACCCTACTTGCAAGTTCACCCCTAGACCATATCACTCAACACCACATCCAAGTGATGCTTAAACACATCCAAGGATGGCGACTCAACCACCTCCCTGGGCAGCCTGTTCCAATATCCCCCATCATAGCATCTTTCCAGTAAGTTCTTGAGAACTTTGCATCATCTCTCTCTCCTCTTCCACCAGACATGTGGAAAGGACAGTAAGAATCTGGTGTCTTTGAGTGCCTTAAGCTTAACCCAAGAAGGTGCAGGAGTAAGAGCAACACAAGTGTCCCTTCACTGCCCCTTTCTAGAAACAGCCTGCAGCCAGCATCAGGCTGGTGAGAACTCACGTAGTGTTTACCATCGTAGTTCCTCACCTTGAATATTAAATTAAGGATATGTTTAAAAAAAAGTTTGTGTTTAATTATTAAGCAAGTAAATAAACTGCTCGTGAATTTATTACAGGAAATTCTTCAGTCTTCTCCTTCATCTTTAGTTTTGCCAGCTGTTGACTGTGAAGCTACCAGGTATCTCCTGAGCTCTCTCCAGGAGTCAGGAGACTGGAAGTTGACAAACATATCTAATCTCAATGTCTCTCAACTGGAAGTGAATACGTCTAAACCAAACTTACTGGTGGTTCAGCTACAACCCCTTGTCAGGTAGGAGCCTGTCACAAACAAAACTGACCTACATGTGTGCATGATTTTTAAAGCTTTTGAAAATGTTACTTGTATTCAGGAAATTTAAAAATGGAAGTGGAAGCTTACAAGGCTAGCAAAGTTATTTGTCTTGCAAGGATGAATTCAGTGCTTTTTAAAGTCCCCTGATGAGCTGACCAGGTGTAATAGATGAATTATGTTGAGAAAGTCAGTCAGGCGTTCCTATTTTGTCTGCCTCATTATATGAGAACAAAGGGACAGCTAATAAAATTAAATGGCAACACGCTTTTAGTAGAAAAGCTGAATTATTTTGTTCAACACATGATTAACCTGCAGAATTAATTGCTAGAAGGCATTCTAGGGGTCAAAAAACCTGTCAGGATAAATAAGCAAGCCAATAAACACTCAGACAAACCTGAAGTTAATATAAATAAAGAGACTGATTTTCATCACTGTAGAAGGAAGAGGAGGGCTATGATTCTTCATGTTTCCAGGCATACATCAACTGTGATCTAACAGAGGTAGAGAGAGATTGTTCTTTCAGGAGAATGTATATTTAGAAAATATAAGGCATTGGTGTACTGAGTCCCTCTGCTCAGCTTCTCCTGCTCTTTCTTCTTCCTAGCCTGTTACTTGAGCATTTCTATACGTCAGTACATGGCCCATTTATCAATGGGTCCTAACGAATTGCAAAAATAGCCATCAAATCACTACACAAAAAATGACATGATAGCCATTTTAAGGAGTTCATGTAAAAATGTTAGATAAGGGGCCAACATCAAATAAAAAGAAAGCTGGGGAGGGGCTTGTCAAAATAACATTAGAGGTCTGGCTTGTCTGCAGTTAAGTTTGAGGAATGAGCTGAAGATGTGGTCTTTGTAGAAGAAAAAGGGTTTAAGGAGCAGATGAGGGAATGATTGAGGGACTGAGCCTGACAGTAATCCTTTCACTAGTCAGTATCTTTATGCATTTCTAGTTCACATTGTTCTTGCCTAGAAAAGATTTTTAATTATTTTTCTCCCACTCTTTTTTGTAGAGGTTTAAATGAGATTTCCACCCTGAAAGCAATTGCTGAAAATGGTAAGCAATATGACCAAGGTACAACTAATGTTTCATCATTTAAGTCTGTGTTTTCACTTGAGCAGATTGTATTCTCTCGTTCCTGATTTTTGCTGTAACACTGCTATTTAAAGGTTTTCCTTTCCCCCATCTATAGTACTTTTAAGCAGTCAATTATCATAATGTTGAAGTACTGAGTGTCTGATTCAAAATCCACCCAAACGGGTACAGCTCTGTGACCCGAAGTGTAATGACAACTCACCTCTGCTTCAGGTTTAGGCTTTTGTTCACGCTCTGAGATCCTCCTGTTTCAGAGTACAAACCTAGCACCTGTGTGCAGCTCGAGCTGCCTCCTTGGATCCCACCTCGCATGTCGGCAGCTGGAGGTGTCAGGCTACTTCGGCAGTTCAAAGGTCTTGGTCTCAGCAGAGGGTGTCTAACAAATAGGAAACGTTTTCTTAATCTTTTTAAAATTATACTGATGCCCTTCACAACCTTTGATTTTAGAGTCTTTTCTTGGTTACGCAGATGTTAAAGAGTACTTGTTAAGGTTGAATTTTTTCATGTAACACTATAATAAAACTTTTCTTGCCTAGCGTTTGTCTGAAAAAGAGGTACCATACTCCAAAGAGGCACTGGGCGACATCTAGGTTTTTTGCAGGCCTTGGACTTACTACTCTAGAGATTGAGATATAAAGTCTGCATATCGCTGTGGTAGTAGTTTCAGGGACATGTAGTGTAGTGTAGGTAGGGTAGTGTAGTGTAGTGTAGTGTAGCAAGCTGATAATTAAACAGTGTCCTTAGTGCCTGTGACTATTTCTGCCCAGGGCTAGGAGTGTAAAATCAGAAGCACATTTGAAAATCGGTGATGTGCCCCTTTCTCTTTGCTTTTGCATTGCTCCAAATAAGCAGCTGGATTTTTATGTCTGAATTGCAGAGGAGTTATTTCTTTCTTGTCCCCAGAGCATATTAAATAGGAAAAGCCTTGGCTTAGTGTTGGCTTTGGCTAAACATTAGCTGTTTCTTTATGGAACATTTCTTTAATCAGCTACACAAACTTGAGAATAAGCTTCCCAAACTCTGCTTCAGGCCATTATGCTTTGGAACAACAAAGTTAATGGGGGACCTGTAGGAAGATGGAGGAGCAAGCTATACCAACTTTCCAGTTAGTGTCAACCAGATGTTATCAGGAAACAGGTATGTGGATCAGGGAAGATGTGCCTCTAGGTAAGGCCAGGTGCAAAGTTTGCACTTAGTGTTCTGCATGAAAATTGGAAATAACATAAGTTTTAATTTAAATGGAAGTTACTGAGCCACAGTTCCTTAAAATTATCCCACTGAAGGTCTGTGCAGTAGATGGGAGAGAGTTGGAAGAGAGAAATTCCAAAAGTAGTAGGTAAGTGTCCAAAACACAGTCTTCTGAGTCATGCAACCTGGGCTGCAGAAGGTCCCAGTCTGGTTGCTCCACAGTCTTATGCCAAATACTGCTGTCAGAAGACCCTTCAAGGTCAGAACTGCTTGCAAGGTCAGGGGTTATTGGTGTTTATTATGGAGAGACTGCTGCTAGATCCTACCTGGGTAAGCAGCAAAAAATACTGTTCATCACGTACCTGGAACCTGACAAGAGAATTGTTAACCCTTAGATATTGCTTGTAAATTATTTTTTTTTCAGTATCAACAGTAAACCCATAGAAAAATGCTGCAGATCTGTAGTAGGTTGGCTAAAAGTTCACAAAGCCTCGTATGTTTGTCACAGCAATTTCTCGGCTTTCCACTGTACACAGTTTTAAAATCTCATGGAATAAAATGTCAGAGAAGTCTCTCCTGTTGTTTTACTCACAGAAGCCAGGAAACTCTGTAAGACAGAACAAATGGGCTCAGATTCTGCCCAAGGGAAATGTGCTGTTCTGAAATATCTAGAAGCTGGAGTAAGCTGAGGTTTTTAGCACATTATTAAAATGAGGCTTATTACGAAATCCAGACTGGAATTCAGAATCCAAATCTGCCCAAGTTTCAAGGGATTCAGACTTACCGTTTTCTTCATGTTTCTTTTCAGTATTTCTTCTTTCTTTCCTTCTTTTACATGAGGTAGTTTGACATTTTTACTCTAGTTTTGCCAGTTTTCCTAAATGTTTTGTTGCTCAGGAGAAGCTTTCATTCTGTCATTTTTGCCTGCCTGATCCAGCATACCTCAAAATCAACAGCAAAGCTATCTATGCCTTCATCTGCACAAGATGCTCTTTAATTGCTATCGCATGTGTTTGTCTTTTCACTCTGATTCTCAGAGCATTCCTCTTTCCACTTTCTCTTCTCTCCCATTTCCCCCTCTCATCTTGTTTTTTTCTGTTCTTTTTCTCTTATTCATAGTTCATTTTTTTTCCTCTCCTTTCTCTTCAATTTTCTCCTTTCAGAACGTTTGTTCTCACTTAATTTCTTCCATTTCTTTCATCTATATGTAAAATCACAGAAAGAAATTAAGGTAGATTAGAAATTAATAATATCACTAATCCTGCACTCCCTGGTGAAATTCAATGAGTTAGAAAGGTTTAATATTTCAACACAGATTTAATCCTTCCCGCCATAAATGCAGACAGTTATGTTAATTGGAAGGTGTTATCCTAGAGAAACTGTTTTACATTCATAGATCCATGTAGTGTTTCCATGATCCATGCTATCTGAAATAAAAACAAGAGCTTTGGTAGAACCACTCTGAAGCCATTCTAACATCAATATCACATCTGGAGATGCCTCTTGTTCCATCACAGAAAGAGTCTGGGATGACTAATGTTCCCATATAGGCAGGTAATTTAGGTGCTTTAAAATATAATGGACAATCTGGTTCTTTTTCCTTGGAGAATTTGCAACTACTTTATAAGCAAGGTAGAGTTTTGTTCACAGGTAAACAATGATCTATATCAACTCTGTTGTTGTAAGAGTGTTCACAGCAGCTTCTCTGGATGAAGGAATTGCTTCTAGAATCTTCCCACAAGAAAGAATTATAGACGTTACCGGTAACTATAGTTACATGTAGTTCCTTACTGAAGTGAAATGCAGATAAAGTGTTATTTCAGAAAGCGATCAGTTGCTTTAATGAACAAAAAAACAGAGACAATCTATACATTTTTCTGTATACTGTAGTTTCCTCCTCAAATTTTAGATGAGGCTGCTGCTGATTTCTAGTGAATTACACTCTGTGCATATAGAATGCAAAATGTACGTAATGTAATGCCTTAGACCTCCACACACCAATATATTTACACTACTAGTATTTAAGCAGTTGTTTCTCTAAGTAAGTCCATTTTTTAGAGTAGAACCTTTTAGCAGTAATTTATAGCAGGAAAAATTTCCATAACTATGATTCTTGATTGATGTGAGGAAATCAGTTTGGTTAAAACCCTGCAGAAAAAAAACAATGCGTGCATTTTTACAAAGGCTAAACATTTTACTCAGCTAGGAGACCATGATTACTGTAAATAGTAGAAGTTAAAAAGCATAATAATACAAGCTCTACTTCCAGCACATGAAAATTAGATACAACTTCTGTAAAGTATAACCTTGAAATCCGAGAAGCTTGTGTGTCCAGGCTATAAAATACACATTCACCAGACTGGTACATGTATGAGAAGTGGGAAGGCACTGAAAAAGTAAATGGGAGACTGCTTGCTTGTTTCTCTATCAGTCCCAATAACAACACTAATACTGGTTCTTGATTTACAACTGTCATGCTCCTTATCATAAGCAAGTGTTAATATTTCTGCATACAGTTTGAAAAGATTTATCAGCTCTAAGTATTTGCCACAACTGCCTGTGATTTCATAAGTAAAGGAGGACCTTCTGTAGAGGTATCTTTGGGCTGGTTTGAAAGGTCCTTTCTTCCTTACTTGACTTTTCCTTCCATTTTGCGAAGTATTCCACCATATTTCTCCTTTGGCCTCCACTATAGTCAACAACAAAATTTTTGATAGCCTGTTGAGGGTGAGGAATCAGGCTTTAAATCCACTGAAGCAAAGATGAATATTGCTGCCAATATTATGCATGTAATGGCTCAAACTAAGCACTACATTTTGAGTATTGATTCCCAGCGATTGGTTCGATGTACTTTGTAATTCACAGAACAATACTACTTAAGCTTTATTATTTATTTATTAACTGGTCACTTGACTAGCATCCTGCTATCACCTCAACTGATATCTTCTGCTCATTCTTTTAATTGCCCAAAGTTCAAACTTTCAGTTTTGTTTCTATTGACTTTTCAGTTTTTCTGAACTGTTGTAATGTTGTTTTTTTCTGTCTCACTGAAACTGTGCATTTTTCCAGACACCGAACATGTCTTATCCCATTTGTACCTATTGACATATAAATGGTACAACCATATAAACTGCTTAAATAAACTAAATAAGCTTAAACATGTAGCTCATTACTACTCCAGCTACTGTAGGATTTTAGCCTTCTCAACTCACAGAGTTTGTCAAATTATACATGTTTCTATTTACAGACAAAATAATTGGAAGACTGACCATGGATCTGCAGGAACGAGGGATTCATTTTTCAGTAATTTATACTGCAGTGAGACCTTCAAGGGTGAGTAATCTTCAGGGCCTAGAACTGTCAGTTTTTTGGCATCTAACAACTTAATGTTTACAGAGCAATGCTGTAGATGATTTTCAAGATTACACAAGCAAGAAATCTGTGTTTTATGAGTTTTTGACCAGAAATGATTGCATGAATTTTCATATACGATAGCTATATCACATAACTATTGAAGTTTTACTGTTCTAAGAGACCATAAATCTGCCATTGTCCTTAGAACTAATTACTTGTAAGGACTGTAATTTTAGATATTTTTTTTTTTCCATTTAATTCTCAGGGTTTAAAGTAAGTTCTACCTTATAGAGCATTTTAGTGTGGCTGGTCAATAAAGACAGTGTGTTGTTAATTAACTGAAGGCTACTAATGTATCCATTTTTAAATTAAACTGGTTTCATTCCTTTTAGTCAATACTTGCTATTTACAACTGAATGGTAAAGTTTTCACCCTTGCTGATAGAACATCATCTACAGATCACATCATATTACATTCGCAGTAAGTAGCAATGCAGAATAGGGTTTTTTTGCAGTTAATCTGCTTTGTATGAAATACAGGGTGTAATCAAGAAATACAGTCATGCCTTGAGGAAAACAGAATACAGTTCCCACTAAGAAGAGAGGTATATGAGGGATGAGCTGTATCCTAAAAATCAACAGCTTTCCAACAAACATCTATCTGTTCCACTGGTAACACATCTGAGATCCTAGTACAGTGCTTAGTTTAATTTGAGTTTTTATTCAAACTCAGGATAATGTCATTTCAGAATACAGAAGGTGTGATTCTCTTGGTTTAGGCAACAGGAAAGCCATTAGTGGGATTTTCTAGGTGTAGCATGAGTGCTGTAGACAGGATCTTGAGAAGTTGGAGGATTTTCAGGAGGAAACACTGTGAAAAATTCACAGCTGTTGTGAAAACAAGAGCAACACCTAGAAAACATATTTTAAATTGGTATGAAGTCCCTTCTACCTTATCCAAAAGCAGAGTAAGAGGCAACTTGACTACACTTCATGAATGTTCTTTAAGCCAAAAATGGATGAACCACCTAAAGGTGTTCTGTGTTTTATCAGAAATAATTTGGTTTTTTGCAAGAAGGTAGGATCTTGAGCCTCTGGCTATCCAACAAGATGATCAGAATAGTCCCTTCAGACTCTAGGAAAAAGAAAAAAACCAAGAACTTTCTTCAATGATCTATGTTGTGAAATTAATTTCCAGAGACTAGGTTTTGAAAACCAGAATTGTTAGAATACAAAGACAGAGCAGCATGAGAAAGCAAGCTCACATTGATGTTCTTTGTGCTGTGTGGTTTTGTGGTAAAAGGGAGGACATGAATCCAGGACTTCTGATCTGCCTTCTCTGTAAGTTTTTTCTAACCAAAGATCCAACATAAAAATAAAAATTATTTAGTTACTGTGGCTCTTTACTGTTTGAAATCAAAGGGGCATGGGCATTCTTAGCTGAAAATTGTATTTAGAATAATTAAAATGAAATATAATTTTAAGTAATGAAAGAACTGGTGTGAAGAAAAGGATTTTTTTTGGTGCAATTTTAAGTTTGTTGAATTTTAAATCTATGCATATTTCAACATGCTTTCTAAATTAAAGTGTTTTAGTCTGAGCAACTGGAGCACTTTTTAATTATTAAAACAATGTATTTTAAGATGTTCTGCATTTTTTTAAAATAAACAATTTAAACTTTTCTTAATACTATAAATTCAATGCCATATAAAACCATCTGAAGCATATTTTTCCCCCCACAATAACTTGAAGTTACTTCAGTGCATTCAAGGTTATTGGCTTCTGCAAAGAGCTAGAAAAGGCAGAACAGAAAGTACCTTTGAGGGCTCCTCAGTCTGTACATTTGCATGAAACCTCTTCTTAGTATGTATTGCATATCTTTGGCTGTGCTTGAACTGCAGGAGATGTGAACTACTTCATAACCTTAAGCTAAAGGAGCTACTCTCTTTGCTTAAACTACAAAGACTACATTCCATGATCTAGAAGTGACAGGGTCACTCCCCAGTGATAACCCAGATCACTATATATGAGAGCAAAAAGATTTGATCATATGGGAAAAGAATTTACATTACTTAGTATACTTGAAAATCAATAGCAATCATTCAGGTGGAAAGATTTGCTTTTACTAAGTTGGCTTTTTCTTATTAGTGAAGGAAATGAACTCTTTCTGATCAGGTAAATTGATTTTATGCAGTGCAGCTCCCAAAAACGGGAGCTATGAGATACTTCTCTTCTGATGGCTCTACCTCTTTTTTGTTGGGCAGTTAATGGCTTCATACCATCGCCTCGTTACTTTTGCTCATTCTTCTGTTGCCTCAAGCAGAGAAAAATAAATGTGAGAAATGCATATATTGGAAAAGATTCCAGACTGGCACTGGCTTCACAGAAAGTGAATTAATGAGACAGGAAGCAGAACTCCCCTATGATAGTCTTTTTTATTTTATTGTTTGATTAGAAAGAGCTGTTGAGTTTAGCTGCCACAGATCCTTTTGTGCTATCATAGTTATCAGTTCATTACCCCAAGGCATGATGGAAATTTATTCAGGCTGGTCCTTGTCTTGTTCCAGTTTCAGCATCTGAAGCTGGAAAATAGAATTAAGACCTTGAAAGAGAGGCTTTTGGTGACCTGTGTGAAGTGGTTTCACTAATCAGTTGATGATTCCTCTGGATATCCCATCATGTCATAGAGGAGATGCCTTCCTTCAACAGGGCAACTCCCACCCATGTCTTGCCACGCTGGTTCTGAAATGCTTTGCCTTTGAGGTCAGGCTGAGTTGGGCTGACATCGAGAGAGTGATTTGTATCACCTAAGCAAGGGAAGTGTAAATGTCTGCATCTGAAGTCATCAGCCAGGGCTCTCTTTACCATTAGGCTTTTTAGTATATGATCCTTTTTGATGTATTTTGTAGGGGACTGCTGCAGAATGAGATGAAACTCATCCTTCATATATCTCCATTGTGTCTGACAACCATAAAGGCAGTCCTCATGCTTAGGTCAGATCTCAATATATACATTTAGTAAGACAACTCCTACACAACATTTCTCATCTTCTTTCGCATTAAAAACTAGAAATTTATCCCAAGAATTGAGGAATCTCCTGCCAAGACATTTCTTCTCTTTGAAATCCATTTGATAGCTTATTTTTCTTCAGGAGAATCAAACCCCTCTGCAGTCCGTGGTCCACTCTTGCATCAGGACTTCTCATGAATATGAAAATTTTTGTGTTTGTGGGGACTATGACCCAAGTCCTCCCTCTACTTGTGATTGTTGCTAGTCAGTTTCTTTAGCTTGTGGTCATAATGCATAAATTTACCTGTGCTGTTGTAATTGGAGAGGTTAAAAAGGCTGCAGTGATTGAAAAATAGATGTGTTTTGAATGATAAATCTCATAATATTTTCCATCATTCAGATTCTCATGGTGTCCATGTCACATTTTTACAAGTTTGCTTCTGAAACTTCCACAAGATGGTTTTATAGTTATCTCTTCCCAGTCAGATTGAGTGCTGAGGAACTACACATTTCCAAAAGGACATTTATGGCTACATCCCAGCTGATAGTCATTTTGCTGACCCCAGTTTTTACAGATGCGCTGTGATGTGCTGCTTAAACCTTCTCTATTGCCTCCACATTTTTTGAGAGTTTCAGCTACCGTGGGCTTTTGACTGCTTCATTCTGCAAGCCGTCTTCTCTAGTTGGCATTTAAGTGTGTTGAGTTAAAGGAACTATTCAACCATAAATAATATGAGCACCTACAGCACAAATGGTTGTATTTTACCCTTAAAAAGTGTCAGTTGAAGGGATCCTCAGGTGTTACTGATGTGCACCCCAGCTGAAAAGGGTATGAAAAGATTTTAGCTTGCATTTTCCTTGTTTCTCTCTTCCACCTACTGCATTCTTAAAAATGCATTTCATTTTGCAGTGCTGCATCTTTCACTTACATCCAGCTCCTCTCTTTTTTATTAACTGTTCAGTTCACCACTCCGAGGAAGCTAAACTCTGCAATGGCCACCCCACTGACTTCACCGCTTCTGATTAATTAAATGCATTTAACCATTTAATATACTCAAACATTATATAATGGGAGCTTTCCCATGAAACAAATGTGAGAGAGATGCTTATAATGCAATTTGCTGGAGGAATTTCTCATCCTTTAGTAATCACCTTCTCTTCTCACTTAAAGAATTCCATTATAATAAAAATAAACTTTAACTTGTAGGTGAAAAATATGCACTTAATTATTTCCTAGCTAAGTCAGTTTTGGTGATTTTTGTTTGTTTGTTTGATTTCTACTTAAGAGAAGTAAAGTCTTTTTATATAATGACAAAAAAAATGCTTGAGGCAGGTTGAAGTCAGTTAGGTGTCAAGCTAAAAAACCCAGACGAAACGTTTAACCAAATTAGTTTGGAAATTGTTTGCTAGGGATGTGAGAAATGCTTGCTAGCGATTCTGTATTATTGTCTATGTTAGTGGAGAGTTCAGGGAAACAACTGCAAACTAGTGTGTTACCTTTAACCCTAGACTTTGCACTAGGGCATTAAGATTCACTTACTTTACACATTTTTGAAACTTTAGGTTTCATTTTATTTCTATCGTGTATATATTCTTATTGACTTAACTGGGAAATGAAAGACAGCATGGAACTAAACTGTTATTCTTATTTGATCAGAACAATATTTTAATTTTAAGTTGCTAACTAGCTTTTTAAGGCTTTGATGAAGCCGGTACAGATCTTATGTATACATCAGATTAGAAAGTTGTAAGGGCATTTAAAACTAAAGACCACGAGAACTGGAGCGGAGGAGCGATGGTGAAGAAGGATACAATTGAGGATGAATTCTGTTTTAGATCAAAAATAGAAATTGGTAAAATGCAGGTATAAACATAGCAAAAAATATTCTTAAGAATATATAGACAGAGGTCATAAACACAATAATTGAGATCAAAGTTAAGTTGCAGGGCTAAAATAGAGAAGAATAAATG